GAGGACACTTTTTACTCCCTCCTAATGGTTGCTGTCTTCTTCCATCTCTTTAACTTCTGCTTTAACAATGTCTTTCTGTAGAGGAAACATCTATTACCCTGAATCATTCTATCTCTCTCACATGGATAGAGTAGCTGGGATTTGTTCCTTCTGACTAGTGTTATATTATTCTTAATGTCTCTTCTTCTCAGGCCTTGACCACAAGATGTTGGAGTAGATAATAGGCGCATAAAATAGTCTGAGCAGTGTCCACTCTGCTAGTGTGGGTGGAGCAGAGCAATTTGCACAAGCAATTAGAGCAGTAACTCCCATTGCTGATAGTTTAGTGACAGATGTCTTCATGTAGGCACTGGGGCTTGAATATAGCCTTGGATGATGTTTCATATATTATACATATTACAATATGCAGTGACCATGAACCAAGAAGTGGTACTGGATGCTCTACCTATTGGGACAATGAGGAATTTTCTTTCACTAGAGTAGAGTGTGTAAATGGAAAGTAATTTGGAGATTAGCATGGGTACCATTATGAAGGTCTTTAGAAAAAATGGAACATTTGCTCCTGATTTAGCAGACACATAAGTGACATAATGAAAGTGGTAGTTTAGGAATTGAACCTAGCAGGGATATTTAGGATCATTTCTAATGTTGGGGGAGTCTGAATCCTGGGTGACCATTTAAGAGATGATAGCAGTAATTCACATATTAGAACATAAGAGCATAATGGCATGGTCAGAATGGAGGAAGACAGACTCCAAAATACATTATAAAGACAGGAATCAGACGGTTTAAAGTAACTGGAACAGAGAATGAAAGAAAGGGATTAGAAGGTTTTGATTCATAGTGACAAGGAGAATATTGTGTCTCTTGTTAGGGAAGTGTGGGGGGAAAACTAGTTTTGAGGGAAAGGACAGAGTTTGATTTTGGGTGGACACAGCTGGGGCCACTTGGTGGAATCTGGTTGCCATCCTTGCAGAACATTAACTCGTTCAACGTTATTTATTGAGCACTTCCAAGTGCTAGATAACACACTAGGCAGTAGGGATCTGAAACAGTGAAAAATAAACACATGTTTCTTTCCTCCAGGTAAGGAAATGAAGTCCAACTGAGATCTTTGAGGACAGAAGGAGTAGACCAAGCCAAAGGGAGGAGAAAAAGAATGTCTGAGACAAGATAGGTAGCACATATAATAGCTTGAGGGCAGAGAGAACCTGGCATATTCAAGGAGCTAACCCAGTATGACTGGAGGATGCACAGTGGCATGTTCTCCTCAATTCAACGTACTTCTAGTTTTATTCCTTTAGCTTGATGTATGTGGATCATACTAGTGCACAAAAGTGGATCCTTTTCTTAGGGGGAAATTGAAATAAGTACACCAGTTACTTAAATATAATGAGTGTATGTATAGGTGACAGTAATGCAAGTTTATGGAAAAATAAATAACTCCAGATATTTTTAGTCAAGAAGGATTTAACGAGTCATCTATTTTTTTTTTTCATGGAAGTGACACTATGTGGCCTTCTGGCAATATAAATGTCCTATTCCACTAATTATACATGGAGAAAAGTGTAGCAGAATCTTCTGTACCCTGAAAAAGGCAAGGCCCACACAGTACCACCTCATATGCTAAATATGGGGAAGCAAAAACCAATTTGCACGTGGGGTCCAGGAACCTTCCATAGAATAAGAGACCGAGACCTCAAATTCATAATCCCTTGGGTTAAAAGTTAGGGAAACCCATTAGGGTAGACTTGGGTGGCTACGATATAAGCTGTAGGAAAGAGAAGACATTGATGGCTTCAAAAGGGAACTTTAATTCAGTGACCTGAGCAGAATCCAAGGACCTAAGTATTGAGGAGGGCAGATCTGGTACCAGTGGGACTGGGCCATTTAGGAATAAGCACTCTTGTCATTGTATTGTGCTTTCAGGAAAACAACTGCAAACATGAATGTAAACTCAGCATAGCTCAAGGCCTGGAGCAGTAATGGAAGAAGATCTGCTAGACTATGAAAGATCAATTTTCAACAATGATGTATGTGGAAACAGCAGTAGTAGGGAAATGAACAAATTCTTCAGTTTCTCCATTTCTCCAATCACCCTTTCTTATTGAAGGGTTTAGCAAGTGAACTGGCCTACTTTAGACCTGATGTCTAAATGTCAGGATGATCAGAAAATCAGAGACCAAAGGAAGCCACAAAGACTGAACTTCCTGCGTAAGAGAGTGATGTGAGGGTTTTCAAAATATTAGCAGGTAGAGAGAAAGAATGTGGCCACAACTACTTCGTAGGATTGTTGTGAGGATTGAACAAATTCATATCTAGCACTTAGAACCGTGCATGGTATAGGTTAAGTACCCAATACAGAGAACTTGATTTGGCGAAGTGGCTCCTATTAGAAATGCAAATATTCACCAAAATGCACTTCTCTCAGTAGAGAAACTACTTGGGAAGCAAAATCATCAGAAAATTTCCTGATGAGTGTGAAACAAATGATGACAAGTTGATCTTAAATTTTCTCAGCTGAAACACCTGTGTGGATGAAAAGGGACCATGGTAATTAAGTCCAAGTAGTGAATTTTTTCTATGTCCTGGACAGCTCTATGTGGGTAACACTAATGCTCTTTCTTCTCTGCCCCTTTCCATTTTCTCAACATCTGAGGCTGGAAAATTACTCCCACTTTTCAGTTTTGTATTTTCTTTCTTAACATATGTTAATATTCAATCAGAAAATTTCCAGGCTCATACAACTGGAAGCAATTCTGTCTCTGTGTCTAACAATTAATCTTAAGGTTACGAGCTATGGTGTCCTAACATATCCAATTTTATGTCCACCCCTCCACAGACATGGAAGAGAGAAAGAAGAAAGAAGTTGACATGAATAGAAAGGTGAGTTCAGGGAGGGTAGTGAAAGCATATCCTTCCTGAAGTAGCTTTTAAATCATGAACTTATTAGATGGGCTTGAGGGAAAGCTTTGCCATCCAATATGACAGGGCTTCCAGTGGTGTGGCACTTTGGGAACAAAATACTTTTGCTTTGCTGTATCATGCCTCTCTGATCTGGTCATAAGTATGCATCATTATTTTCTGAGGTCTAAAGAATTTTTAGAAGTGTTCTCAATGTTACTGTCAATAACCTTTAAAAAATTAGAAGTTAGGCTATTATAGATGTGAAATTGTCATAATTTTAGAAGAAAAGAAAAGGATATATATATATATATGTAATCTCATTGTTTATCCCTGCTAGTATTCTGGAATAGTTAGTGAACAAAGAAAAGTGACACTAGCAGTCATCTGGATTCAAAAACTACACTAATCTCATTTCCTTCCTGATAGTGTGGCTAGACTGGGAGATGAAGCAAGCGGCATAGAGTATATTTGACAATTTGTCATGAAAGCATTGTGGGTAAAATGGAAAAATGGTGACTGGATTATATAAGAAGTGCTTTCACAACTGGCTGACCATTCAAGCCCAAACACATATAACTCCCCCAACATTCCATTCCATTACATTCCATGTTTCCATGGCAATTTCCCTTGCACAAAAAGACCTTGGGGAGGAGGAGTTTCAAAATGGCAGCTCTTACTTGAATAGAATATACCTTAGACTTTGGAGGTTTGAGAGTTTGCACAAATAGCTATATCCCTTGCTTCTCCCCCAACCCATGGAGATTTGGTTATATATAAATAGCAAGAAGGTGAATGTTTCTGATAAAGGGAATATTCTACATTATGTGTGTATATGTTTGTATGTGTGTATATGTGTGTGTGTGTGTATATATATATATATATTTAGCACAAGCAAAAAATGGCATGATGTGTTTCTATTTAGTTTTTGGTCTCAACATTGCATGTCCTATTGGAACTTTGAAATGAAAATGAAGAATAGTTCTTAACTTGCCCTGTTCACCAAGATCCCAGGTTTAGTAAACACCTTTTCATCTGAGAATCCTGAGGCAGGAGCACTTGTGTACCTGTCATAGGGAAAAGACTCTTACTCATGCTGACAAGATTCAACTTAAATATTCTGTGGTTTTGTTTTTTTTACTTCCTATATATAGTATAAGCTCAGTGAGGTCAAGAATGTCTTTTGTATTCCTTCACAAACTCTAGTATGTTATTGATCATGTAATAAGTTTTCAATTCTCATTGTTCATTGCCCTGTTAGCAATAAATTTGTGTTCCCCTGCCCCACCCATCCTTTTTCCTCTAGTACTGTTCTCCAGTTGATAAAAGTAGATTTCTTTCGTTTAGAAAAAAGTTACAAATTCTAAGTGTGTCAGCCTTCCAATGAAACCAAACTATTATCTTCTAGTTAAGTAAACAGACAATTGATCAATACCGTGTCTTCTGAAATATCCATAGAACATTATCTATCAACATTAACCTCATTGCCCGGAAGTTACCATTTCTCTATAAATACTATAACTGAGATAGTTCCTCCTTGGCAGTTTTTTTTTTAACACAATATATTAAAAATTGTGCTTTAGTGTAATAACAGAGATTTATTCCTCCCCTTTATTTTATGGAAGAAAGCATGATTACACTGATTTCTCCCTTCAGGTTTTTGCCTGGCATAGTGAATGCTAAAATACTCATTTTGGTATCATTTACTAGAGTTAATTATAACACACTCACTAATATAAAATACCTTAGTTTCCAACTTCATTAAACTCTATTATAATTACCCTTTATTACTCTAATCTTCAAAGTCCTTTGCTTTTGAGGGTGGGAGTATGTGGGAGGTAGAATATAAAAATATTTTGAGTATTGGAAGATGAAATGACCTTTTGTATTACTCACTCTTGAACCATGTTTCACTTTTTGCAGGAAAAAAAGGACAAGTTGCCATGGCAATGTGTGATGGTTATATGTATCAAATGTGGGTTTACATTCAGTGGTCTCTACTGTTCTTGTAAGTAAGGAAAAATGTTTGAGTCAAATTGTAGAAAATTCAGAGTGCTCTTAAACATTATTATTAAAAGATGCCCGATTTTAGTGGCATGACATAGAATTTTACACTCCTTGCAGGAAAGTAGGATTTTGTGGTACAGGGTTAGGGGATAATAAAAGATGTTCCATTTATAGACACTGGGGGAGAATGCATAGAAAATAAAGAAACAGTTTGGAAGCACACATTCACACTTATGCTAGGTAGTTTTATTTTGGACAGTATCCTAAGTGCACTTCTTTTTTCAACTTGTAATATAAATCTCATTACATGGTACAGATTAAGTACTTAAAAATCTTGAATTTGTGCTTTAACTTGATGGGCAATGAGTCAGAGTTTTCAACCTTTATAAATTGAATGCATTAATATGCACGCACAGTTAAATCCCACCTAGATGTCTGGCAAGCAGACAGTTATTCCTAAAATTTAAAAATGGGGAATATTTAAAAATGCAATATATAGAGTTGAACAGTTTGACTCAGAAAGCAGGAGTTCTAGACCTCGGGACTGATCTTGGAATATTATATTTGACCAGATATTTTGACTGTCAATCTCTCTTCCTTTTCTTTTATAAAGACAGTGCTAATTTTGTGTTCTAGAAAGAAGTGAAAATGTGGGAATGAATTAATTATTTCACAAATGACTTGAAGATTCAAAAACAATCACTGAGCAAGTGCCCAGAATCTGTAAAGGGTGCAGCCTTCAATCACTTGTTTCACTTCTCCAAATACCAGACCTAAAAGCTATAAAGAGCTTTGTTTCTCCAACTGTTCTCATCATGGACAAAATTTTGAAAAAAAAAAAAAAACACAAAAAACAAACAACAGTGCTCAAATTATGTTTTTCACACCTAATGAGGTGAGAAATTCTAGGCAGGCCCCAGAAACATTCTCAGTGTACTGGAATTTGGTCTCTGTGAAATTTAGCAGCTTCATTGTGACAGTTTTGGCTTAATTTTACATAGTTTTCTCTTGCATTGTTGTAAGCTTATGCTAGCTTTTCTTTGCTAATAACACAGATGGCACCAAAAACAAACCAGTGAAATCCTGCAATTTTTTTCAAAGTGCAGGGAAAAAAATTAAGTGAAAATTCATATAAAACCTTTTAAATTAGAGAAGAACCCTTCTTAAATATAATGCCAGAATAAGAATTTCATGAAGATCATTAAGACTTTCACTTTAAAAGTGAAGATGAGATGTATAATATTCATTGTTATTAAAACATAATAATTACTGAGTATTAGTCAACAATAAATTGTTCTTGTAAAGTTTTTAAAACTGTGGGCATTCTCAAAAATTGGAAATATCTACCCAGAGCATTTGTGTGTTAATAAGTTTTGATTTTATTGCATACATATTAGTTAATTCTTCAAAGGTGTGTTAATTCCTTCAGGCCACTAGGCACAGCTGTCGTATTATTACCTTGATGCAATTAAGTAATAATCTCCATAGGTTTGTAATTTACTCCGAGGAAGGAACTTAATTCACTAAGAAAATAAGACTAAATATACTATTTGATGGATTATCTTGTCATTCCTTCAGTCTAGATAACCCAGTGGTGGTTGTGGGAGGTAAATATCATTTTAAATTGAGAAAAGAAGATTGGACTGCATTCTAGCATTTTTTCTTCACAATTTCAAGTTCCCATTTCTTCCTCTTAGGTTATTGCAATAGCTGCTTACCTAGTCCCTTTGATTACAAAGCTTATCTTCCAAATCTAATATACACGTGGATGCCAGATGTCTTTCTAAAGACTCTAGTTTTCTCAGCTCATAAATGATCAGTGGGTCCTCATTGTTTGAGATCTTCCATAATATGTGCTGTTTAGCTTTATCCCTCTATTCTCTCAAAATCCAATTGGTCCACTGAACACTGAAAATAGCATGGGTGTGAACCAGACTGAGTCTGAATACCAACCTTGACACTCACTCACATGGGCAAATTATTTACGCACTCTGTGCTTCTGTTGCTCATTTGTTGAATGGGGGTGACAATAATGGTTCCACTTCCTGGGGCTTTAGTAGAAATGAAATAAATTAAAACATGAAAATGCTCATGGTGACGCCTAGCATACAGTAAGCATACATTAAATGTCAGATATTACTACTGCTGTCTGTGTGGCTTGTTTCTGCAGTCGTTACTACGTGACACATCTCCCAGTCTCTGCATATCAAATTACCACTTATGTCTGGGGTCAGATGTTGTATCTATCATGAAAATTGTACAATTATTAAAACAAAAGGTTGCGCTCTAAATTACTAAAGCATGGTTTATTCTAATCATGGTGCACATTTCCCTTAGTTTACCCTGTATCTTACTTGCATGTACAGGTGTTTTTATCTTGTCCATGGGTAACAGAACCCTTGGGGCTTAAATGACATTCTATTATATACGTTGTTGTGTCCATGAATGTCACAAAATAGCAATCAGGCAGAGGAAATATTGAAAAATATCTCTTTAATGACTAAATATTTTAATACCATGTCTTTCAAAATGTGAATTTCATGTTAGTCTGTGACTAGACTCCTTTTTGTAGCTTGAAATTTTGAAATTGTGTTAAAAATTTCTCTAACACACCATCTTTGTCAGCATAGGTTTTTCCTAGACCTAATGAAACAAAACTAGGATTATCTCTTTTGAGAGAAATTCTATGTTAGTATAACTATATTTTTCCTACATGGTAGAATATACGCTTTGTGTAGTATGTTATTGTATAGTGGTCTTTGATATTTACATTTCATAAGTAGAATCTTTAAGAGCAAGGGTGAATATATTTAAGCTTCTTTTCTCCTCCTAAGCATGATTACACACACACACACACATGCGCGCGCGCGCGTGCACGCGCGCACACACAAATGTATTTAGAATCCACACCATGGCATTTGCCCACTGAAATCTTTTGATATTTCTGAAGGATGCATTCCCTCTCTCTTCTCTCTTTTCATTAATTTTTCCAGGCACCATATAATACTTAAATTTTAAGTTTAAGTTTCAAGAACATATGAAGAAGTGTATTTACAAAATCCAGATATTCTTCATCTGAATTTCAGCCAAGAAGCAACTTATCATGCCACTGAAGCAAGATATGTCACTATGGAATTTGATTTATTGCATGCTTCAGTTCTTAATGGAACAGAATAAGGCAATCTACCATGATTGTTGCTTCGAGCATAAGGTTAGAGAAGAAGTAATGCAAACAACCTCAAAATGGGGATGATGGAAACTATCCGCTTCTCTCTGGGCTTCTTGCTGACATCCACCTTGGATCCTCGGGTCACTCTCAGCCAGATCATCTCAATCATCGGCCTGCTTATGTGACATCTGAACAAGCTGAAAAATTATTTTTTTTAAATTGGAAAAATAAGTGGCTACACTGCATCCTCTGTGGAAAATTTGGAAGTATACTTTGTAAATATGAGAAATTCATGAGGCTCAAGTGATTTATATCCTCCTTCAAGAAAATAGGGATTGGGGTAACAGAGAACCTTCTTATAACTCATGCAACTCATTGCAAGGTCAGTAGCCAATAAAGACATCACCATCCATGATTAATCGTGGATGGGTTCCACCCCCAACTTTCCTTTTATCCCAGAGACCTAGATAAATGTCATGATGGTCCTTTAGTGTCCCAGCTTTGTCCTTTCAGGCATCTAGCAAGATATAGCAAGGGAGAATTAAAGAGAAGGTAATGTTAGGCTGATAAAATTTCATCTCAGAAGGAAAATGCCACTGATACTGAAGAGATGGCTTTGCAACATGAGAAATAAAAAAGTAGATTATTTGACTTTTGTAAGAATTACCCTAATATACTAGTCATCATAATTTACAGATATTTGCATTTGTATACAGGATTCTACTGATCTCTCTCTCTTTCTCTATATATGTGTGTGTGTGTGTGTGTGTGTGTGTGTTTATAAAAGCAGAACTTCTATTCTCACAAAATGCTTAAGTACTCTATATACCAGTTTTATTTGCAGGGTGGAAGATAAAGATTAGTAATGTCTTCAATTGTTTGTAGGATACTTCTCAGCTCTCAAAATAATTTCATATATGTATTTCTTCTGATACATAAAGTAACCCTCTAAGAGATGCATAGCATAGCACATAGTTAATTCCATTTTGCAGATGAGGAAAATGAGGCATAAAAAATCGAATGATTAGCCTGTCATAAGTAGCAAAGTCAGGCTATATTATAAGGAAAGATAACTATAATTCATGCTTCTTCTGGAATTTGGTCCCCAAATTTGTTAAATCTTTGGTAAGTATTTATTATGCTTGAAATCCAATAATGTGCAGAACTGAAGGAGATATACTAAAAGTACAGGCCTTTGCCTTTGCCTTTGCCTTTGAGAAAAGTTACATGTAGAGGAAAGGGAAAATGCTACTATAAAACACAGTTCTGCTCTTAAGTGAGTGGTATGATTTGTTTCACGTGTAAATGGAGTTGATCACAAAATAAGACTTCTAGGGTATGATATCAAGGAAAACTCCAAGACAAAACGATAGGCAGGCTTCTCCATGTAAGAAATGAAGATGAATTTAAGGGTGAAATAGTATTAATTGATCAACACATGTGCACATGTAGTAGTAACATTCATCAGGTGTTGGGCAGGTGGGGGGAGGGGGGATGGGTATATTCACACCTAATGGGTTCGGTGCACACCATCTAGGGAATGGACATGTTTGAAGCTCTGACTCGGGTTGGGGCAAAGGCAATATATGTAACCTAAATATTTGTACCCCTGTAGTAAACAAATAAAAAAATAAATAAAAAGAAAAAAAGAATTTAAGAGTGAAAGAGCAAAAAGTAGGTGATAAGGTAGAGGGAGTGAAAAGAAAAGCATTCTGAACAAGAGTCAGGATGGTTGCTTAAAATACAGGTGGTGGAAATTCTTGGTGATCAAAAGTGTTTGGTATTATATGGTAAAGCATTTGCTGTATGGTTCTGAAATTTAATCTTCATACTACCCCAAATCTTCTATACTTATATGCTGTATACATATGCCTGCACCTACCCTTTTTAATCAGGAAAAAGGGTTGTGTTTATTATACTCTGTTTGTGAATGGTGTATACAAGCTGTAAGAGATGAGACCGGTCAGCAGAAGTAGAAACTCTTAATAAAAGTGATCATGAAAATGTAAACAGTTGGGAATTTGAAGATTTTTCAGAGGAAATGGTGTCTCATGGAAGATAGAAGGATATTATTCAACATGCTCACTCTGTATTCTCTTAGCCTTCTTATATTTACTTGCTTATTGTGTATACTTTCATTTTCTTCCTCAAAGTCTCTTTCATATTGTAAAAGTTTCTTTCAGTGTTTAACAATATAATTATGACATCAACTATACTGTGAAAACTAGGAATTCATGGAAGGTGAGATCAGAAGCCTAACTATTGTGAACATTGTTTACTTAACGATGGAAGATCCTGGGTGTAAAGAAGGAACTGGTCACTGAGCAACAGGCTTTGTGCAGTTGATTGCTGTCTCTCTGTCTTTGAAGAGCAAAGTGAATTTACCTCAAACTCTCAGTTCTAGGACCTGAGAATGTCTCAATCTATTTATTCTTCCCCATGATTACTGAGAATTCACTAGGGCTCATGTTTTTGCAGTTCTTTCTGTTGCATGCTCCCTTATCCTTGAAAGTCAGATATTTTATTCACACACATGCACACATGCATCTACTCAACATTTTGTGAGTTCAGCTAACCTCACTGAACTTTGGAAGTTTGTGAGGCCTGTCATAGTGAGCAACCAGCTTCCATCTCCTTAGGTCCAGCCTCTCTTCCCATCATCTCCATCTCTTCTCTTTCCTCTCAACCCCCAAATTGGAAAAGACTCCCCTCCATATCTTATACTTGGCAAATTACAGGAAGGTTTTTATAACTTGAACATACCTTAGGAATATCACCCTGCATACCTTAGTTGACTCAAGTATTTTTTTCATATAGATATTATTTCTCCCTAAAAGGAATTCAGATGGTAATATTTTCTCCAGTTTTTTAAGTATATAAATATTTGGTATTACATCAACATTACAGATACCAGCAGATCATACTTAGTCTAAAATTGTAATTACCAGAAGTCTTCTGATGATTGAATAAATATTCAGAACAGACAGATTAGAGGGTTAGAGTTTAGTTGCCTGGATTTCACAAATAATACCCTTAGTTGTTGGCATCCTGAATAATGTTTTAGTATATTCATTGACTCAGTCAGGATTTATCTAATGGGTTTATAGAGAAGATAATTTAATCAAATGCTTAATTTATTTTAAAAAATGATAAATTAATACAACTGTACTTCTAGAGGTTATCTGTCTATGAGAAATCCTATTTTAGAAATCCCTAAATCCAAACACAGTCACAGAATGAAAATAGCATATTCTCTTTTCTTTTCTTTTCTTTTTTTTTCACTTTTGCATTTCATCTGTTATTTCACTGTGGTGCCAAATTGCTCTTCAAAAATTCTTAAGCCTATTTCAAAATTCTCACTAATTTCAAGTGATAACTAAAATCATTGGTTATAGATCTAGTGTCAAATAAGTCTTTATCTCTTCCTGTGGGCGGCTATCTACTTGACTGATGTAAGTGAAAAAAGAACTACATTTCTTTTTTCCAGTTGAAAATGGACAATTTAGCCACCACATGTCTGCCAATGTACCTCTGTATGAGATGTAATTATATGTGAAATAATAACCTTGCTGCCAAATAGTTTTCAGTGCTTTGCTTTATATGAGAAACAATACATTTTTAGTTCCAAAAGGCAATAAGATAATGACATTCAAGTCAATCTCTTGCTGCTTTTACTTTCTTACTACATTTTAAGTCTCTTCCTCATCCCTCTCTAGTTTTCAATGTTAAGATGACAATCTCTTATTATAATTTAGATAGCATAGCCTTTGGTTAATTTTCAGCCTAATTTTTTTTCTCTGAATATGTATGTATTAAAAAGTCTATTCTCAATTTATGATAACAGGTTTTAGAAAACACTTCTCTCATATAAATCATCAGCTATTGTGTAGTGTTAGGAGTTTATAATATACTATTTTCACTAATCTATTTTAGCAAATTAAAAGCCTGTTCAAATAAAAAGGTGCCAGGAAAAAGGAAAGTCAATAATAATAGCCAATATTTATTTAACACTAACCATGGATCAGTCATTATGCTAAGAGCTTTATATGCATGCTCTCATTTGTTCCTTTCAAAACACCTATAAAGTAGGTACTATTCTTATTTCCATTTTACATATGATAAATTGGATTTTTTTAATATGCAATTTTTTTCCTTCTTGCTTCTCAGGAAACCAGCCAATCTTTGCCGTTGTGGCTAAGTGGCATTGTGTTACGGAGCTGGAAGCAAAGTTATCAGAGACCCAGAAGACCCTCCTCTCTTGTCTCTTAATTGCAATATCCTTGGTTCATTGAGGAACAGGGATTGCCAGAAAGAGTGGACTAACATTTTAAGAAGGAGCAGCAAACCAAATCAGGGAGAAAAGCATGGAGACAGCATAAAGTTGTTATTTCACATATTATTTCTCACCTTCAAAGAAATTTTGGGAGTTAGAAATGAACATATCTGCAAAGATCAGTTGTATTAGTTACCTATTTGCTGTGTTAGAATAATCCCAAAACTTATCAGCGTCATCGCATATACTATCTGTTGATCAAGAATTCAGGAGCATCTTTGGTTGGATTGTTATTGTTCAGGGTTTCTCCTGAAGTTATAGCCAAAATGTTGTCCAGAGTTGCAGCCATCTGAAGACTTGTGGGAGCTAGAGGATCTTCTTCAAAGATGGCTCATTCCCATGGCTGCAAATATTCCTGGCCATTGGCCAGAGGCTTCAGTTCCTTATTAAGTGGGCTTCTCTATAGATGCTGCCTAAGAATTTTCATGATATGGTGGCTGGCTTTCCACAGAGTGAGTGATCCAAAGTGATATCTTTTCCAACTTGCCTTAGAGGTCACACAATGTCACTTCTGCCATATTCTGTTGGTCTTAGCTGTATCTCTGATACAACATGGGAAAGGACTACACAAAGGTATGAATGCCAGAAGATTAGGATCTTCTGGAGATGGAGACCATCTTTCAGTCTGGCTACCACACCGATATTCACTGAAGGCCAAAAGACTCTTTCTGTTAATATCTGTTAAGCCTCCTAGGACCCTTACATGACTATTAAAAGGAAAGAAGATACGCCCAAAATAAGTGAGATTAAATGATTGACTCACCTGGTAACCTGTGGAGGTATTCACAATCAGTCAACAAATATTAGTTGAGTATCTACTTTGTGCCATGCATTGTTCTAGGCTGTGGAGATGCATTGACAAATGAGATTAAAAAGTCCCTGCCCTCAAATAACTTACAGTCTAGTGTAAAGAGATAAACAATGAATGTGCAAAAAATGAGATGATTTTAGATGGAAATCTAGTCCATCTGAAAATAAAACATGTTAATATGATATAAATCGATGGGGAGAGTCTTTAGTTGGAGGCTCATAGTAGACTATTTTGAAGAGGGGACATTGAAACTGAAGTCTGAATGCTGAAAAAAACAGAGTCATATAACCATCTGAGGGAGAGGAATAGAACAGGCATAAAAAAGACTAAGGGCACTGAGAAGGCAACAAGTTTAGAGATTTGAAGGGACAGAACAAAAGCTATTGTAATTAGAGTGTAGAACTCTATGGTGAGTTAGGAGCCAGGTCATGTAGGGTATTAGGTCATGGTAAGGAATTCTGATTTTATCCTAAATTTATTTAGCATTTATTAGATGATGTCAAATAGGAGAAAGACAAAATCTGATTTACACTTTAGAAAGTTAACAGTGACATCTCTGGGTAAAATTGGAGAGTTAAAAGTGGAAAAATATTGCAAAGCTGTCTCAGTCGTTCAGGGGACAAATATTTGTAACTTGAATTGGAGTTGAGGCAGTAGAGTTGGTAAAAAGTAGTCCGATTCAGAATATCTTGGGGAACCAAAAGGACTTGCTGATGAGTTTGATGTAGAGTTTTGAAGAAAGAAGAGGAATCAATGATATATACAAATGGTCTGAGCTCCTGGGAAGATGGTGCCATATATGGAGAGAGAGATGGCATGGAGAAAGTTGTTCAGAGGATGAGGCAGGCAATTTCATTTAGGTCACAAAAGTAAAATATTCAGTTTAGGTCACAATTTTTTTTTTTTTTTTTTTTTGAGACAGAGTCTCACTCTGTTGTCTGGGCTAGAGTGCCGTGGTGTCAGCCTAGCTCACAGCAACTTCAAACTCCTGGGCTCAAGCAATTCTACTGCCTCAGCCTCCCAAGTAGCTGGGACTATAGGCATGCGCCACCATGCCCAGCTAATTTTTTCTATATATTTTTAGTTAGCCAATTAATTTCTTTCTAGTTTTAGTAGAGACGGGGTCTTGCTGTTGCTCAGGCTGGTCTCAAACTTCTGACCTTGAGCAATCCTCCGGCATTGGCCTCCCAGAGTGCTAGGATTACAGGCATGAGCTACTGTGCCCAGCCTGGTCACAATAATTTAAGATGCTTACCAGATATAAAAGTGGAAATGCTGTTTAGGCAATAGTATATATTCATCTTTGAGAAGTCAGAATTAGAGATTTTGATTTGAGAATCATCAGCCTAAAGATACAGAGTCATGAGCATGTAGATGGTGTATGAAACCATGAGATTGACCAGGTCACCTACGGAGGGAATATAGATAAAGAAATCAGAGATATTAGGGAGATGAAGAGGAACCATCATAGGCAAATGAGAAGTAGCAAGCAATAAGGTAGTAAGAAAAACACAAAAAGTATGTTGAAAGCCAAGTGAAAAAATTGCATTGAAGAGAAAGTAGTGATCCAGCATGGTAAATGTTACCAGTTGATCAAATAAATTTATTAGTTAGGCTTCTCCAGAGAAATGGGACACAACGGGATATATCTATATAGATATAGATATCTACATATATCTATATGTAGATATAGATACATACATGTTTAAAGAGAGTTATTATAAGGAATTGTTCCACAGATTATGGAGGCTAAGGAGTTGCATAGTCTACCCATCTGCAAACTGGAGACCAGAAAAACTGGTAGTGTTACTCCAGTCTGAGTATGAAGGCCTGAGAATCAATCAGGTGTATTTCCACTCTGACTCTGAGAGCCAGTAGTGTAAGTCTCAGTATAATAGCAGGAAAAGACTAATGTCTCAACTCAAGTAGTCAAGCTGAGAGAAAGATTTCTCCCTTTTTCTGTGTTTTTATTATATTTGGGCCCTCAATATATTAGATAATGCCCACCCTTATTAGGAAGGGCAAACTGCTTTATTTAGTTCACAGATTCAAATGCTAATCTCTTCCAGAAACACCCTTACAGGCACAACCGGAAATAATATTAACTATTTAACCAGGTATCTTAGTATATTATTGCTCAATCAAGTTGACACATACAATTAACCATCGCAGGTTAGAACTGAGAATTAATGATTAAATTTGGCCACATAGAGGTCTTGTATGAACTTAAGAGCAGTTTAGAACTTGAGGAACCAATAAAGTATGATTGGCTGTTGTGGCAAGATGAATATTGGTTGGATTACAGAGAAAACAATATTCAAAATGTTTCAAAGAGAAGAGTATTTTAGATGTTGCTGGAACATTTTGTGTCCTGTAAAAGCAGAACTTGTACAAGTGAATACCCTTGATAGGAAGTTTTCAATATAGTAGTAGGAATGAAAGCCCAGAGAGAACTGAGGAGATACGATAAATGAGGAATGAAATATCCTTCTTCTCTCAAAAAATTGGAATTTTTATTTTAATGAAACATGATTGTTTTTAATTTCATCAAAATATTAAACATAACATCATTGAAAGTTTTTCCACCGTATCTCTTTTCCCCAACACAAGCTTCACCAAACATCCTTTATATTCTATTAAATTTTGACATATTTCAGACAAAATAAGAAGATAGTATATTTAGGTAATGAACATATGGGTACCACCACACAACATAAGACATAAATATTACAAATATAGTTGAAGCCCTTGGTTTATTCTTCCCTGATTGCATTTCCAACCCTGCCAAGAGGTATCCATCATCCTAAATTTGGTGTTTATTATTTTCATATGCTTTAATATTTTATCACATATATATCCACTTATATATGTGGCATTATTTTACACACTTCAAAACTGTATTAAAATTATTAATCATATATAATCCATATACTTTTTTTAATTCTTTATGTATGTGAACTTTCTTAATGATTGAAAATTTAGCTCTAGCTCCTTGCTGTGTAGTACTCCATTATATTAAAATTTTGCCATATATGCATCCATTTTTACCATAATTAAAATTCGAAGTGTTTCCAGTTTTTCACTGCTATAAAGAACTGCTGAAAAGAACTTTTTTATATAAATACCTTATGTACACAGATGAGTATTTCACCCATCAGTGCAGAAAATTTCCCTTTCCTCCAATAAGTAGCCATTGTTATCTCCTACATCTTCAACATCCTATTTTAAAATCTTCTGTAGAATCACTGTTGATACCAATTAAAGCTAGTGACTTTCATTAATTTTTCATTAAACCACTTAAAATTCCTTCTACTGTAATTCAAATTCTTTTCTTTGAGTTTTGCCGTCAGATGAAATAAAGAATAATACATTGTGCAAACTCCTGCACTTTAATATTTATTGTCATAAAAATTTTTCTTGGTTAAAGCCACAGTTCCATAGAAATAATAATAATGAAACACTTAATTATTTCGATGATGTTTATATGGAGGCTGCAGTTCTCAGAACGTAAGTGTACCTCAACATAGGTAATTGTGGTATGTGTGTGTTGGGAGTAGTCTCAGGGCAATTAGAGCAAGTAAATTTGAGATAAGACATGGGAAATTCTGCAATTAACTTATTTAAATATGCTTTATGTGGAATTTTCTAAATTAGTCAATCAAAAATATATATTTTTAAAGATTGGTTAACATTTTATGGGACACTGGTTTTCCATGGATTAGAAGTGTTTTTATGAAAACAAGTGGAGAATATTTTTTTAAATATTTAAAAATTCATATTTTGATTGTAAAAATTTACTTAGGATTTTGATTTGTAATAAGAGCTTCCAAAAGGCTTTATTTCTTCTTTTAAATATAAAGAATTATTTAACTGACTTCTGGTTTTGAATGTCCAAATGGTAATACTACTTATAATGGAAAAGAAACATAAAAGAAATGAGTGTTTTTAATTTTCTCTTGGGTAGTATAGTCTAATTGGTAAAATGTTGGATGGTATTTCTGTCCTCTTTATTTTCCATTTCTAATATAGAATCAATTAAGAGTAAGCAGTTGGAAATAATTCTTAACATAATTCTGTGATCCCTTTTATAATATAGTTAATGTAATTCCTCCAAGTAAATGGATATCAATTTCAGTAAGTTTCCTAAATGGAGGGTACTGTGTGAGGCCTTTCATCCTGCCCTTTTAAAATTAACAATTAAGTATATACGAAGTAAGTGGTGATTTCATTAGAACCTACAAATACCTGGCCAAGTCAACTGCTTTTACTATAATCATTATTTCTTTCTGTTTAAAAATATAAGAGATGAATTGTATTCATTTCACTCTAGATAATTGTAGAAATTAATAAAATATTTAGTAATATCTAATAGTCATATAATTATATATACTAATTTTATACATAATATATCATTGTGTATATATATATACACCCATACACAATGTATTTTATATTTTATTTGTACGTGTAAAATTTCTTTCACCATTCTCACTTTAGCAGAATGGTAGGCAATGCTAAGCCATGAGAGTAATGTAGTTATATAGTAAGCATAGACTACAGACTGAGTGAGATGACAATATTCATTTGTTCAACAAATACTAATTAAACATCTATGTTGTAAGCTCTTGGAGCTTAAATTATAGATGAAGGAGAGATGAATAAAGGAGATACACGAGTAAATTATATAGCATGTTGAATGGTAAAAATGATTTGGAAAAACACAGAGCAATAAAAGGAAGATAGGAAGTGTTGGGGTGGAAGGGGGGCTTATCCTACCTGTTCATTAATGAAACTCCCGAAGTACTACATTGTGTAAGAATATGTTTCTTAACATAATGTTGACTTCCATATTAAATATATATGTATGCATGTGTGTATACATGTAACATATATTTGCAATATATATTACATGTAAAACAACAACATTTGTGAGAGATTAAATTACATCCTTTAAGGT